ACTAAACAGCGTCCTAAAATGGAAAGGATAAAAATTGCATTTCATTAAAATCCGCTCCCTAATTATTAGGATAACTGGAAAACCTAGTCTGTCCAGCACATTGTGTGCCAAAATACTGGTTTGCTTTGTGAATTTTTTGAACCTTGGAATGTCATCCGTGATAATGATGTTTTCTTTCTTCAAACCTGTGTAATGCACTGTGAATGGTCATGAAGTCTATAATACACTTGTCATTAATGTCACAACTTTTAACAGGAAAGTGTTTAGTGGCATGTCTTCTGTGTGCATTAGTACATTTTGCATTGAATTATATGGTTCTGTGTATTGTCATGTTATTGACTGATCTATTTAATATAATATATTTGTTGCATACCTACAGCATAAACCATGTACGTAAACATGCAATGTTTAATACAAGTATATCTGAAAATGTAAATACAATGTAGAAATTAAAACTGATTTCAATTTTCATTCTTAATGCAATAATACTTAATACACTAATAATTAAATTTATAAATGTTAGTGTAAGAAGACTAAAATTGAAAAACAATTTTGAGTTTGATTCTTGGGATGCCTAAAATGTTAATTTTGGGGGATACTTTTTACCTGAAGCCCCAGGGACGTATAGGGGGGGGGGCTTCAAATGTTGAATAGTGCAAAGGATGTTTTAGAGAAAGGTGCAGATCCCAATTTCGTTGACATCCCAGATGTTTTGAAAAATTGAAAAAGATATTTTAAAACTTCAAAATGGCATATTTTTGTCTGCCTGTTGTAAACTTAACTCTTCAAACATGGTCATGTACAATTTTGGGGGGGAAGGAGAAAAAAAAGGTTTTGGGTATTTTGCGATTGGAATTTACAAAAAAGAAAGAAAAAAATATTAATCAGCTCGAAAGTGTTTCTTCAAATTTCGCCCATAACCGGACGGCCCGGGTTCGTATTCCAGTCGGGACTACCAATTCTGTGAAAATTTAATTATCGAACTCTCCACATACGTAATAAGGGACGGTATGAAATATATCGCTAGTCTTATTTTCGGATATTGCTAGATTTTTCAAAATTTGCAAAAGAAAAAAAAATCAAGATAATTTTTTCAGACATTCTTTTGTACAAAATTAACTCTTTAAATATGGTCACATCCAATTTTTTGAAAAAATCTGTAGTGTCTGCGTTATTTCTTGTAAAAAGGTATATAATGGTTTACAACTATGGACCATGAGAAAAAATGAATGAATGAATGAAATGAAAAATAATTAATTTCATTTTAATTATAATTTTCTATTGAAATTGACAATATTAATTATATTTGTGGTTTCTCGCACTTTTACTTTTCTTAATTTTACAATTTGTATCCTCAATGCATTGAAGTAAGAGTACATAAAGTTGGTCTGCAGACGGTATAATGGCTTTCATCGTCCCTCCATACTGCATGCAAATAAATCTTAAAGGGCTGTGTTATTTAGGCCATCATTTATATAATTATAATATTGGCCAGTTTAAGATATCATAAAACTGTAGAGTGCAAGCTACACCACCTAGAAACTGTTTACCGGGGTGATTTAGATGGGGAGACATTATAAAGAGAAATGATCCCTTTTCCTGTCAAATTTTAGATTGTGGTACATAAACACCTTGGCAATACAAGGTTCTTCTACTAGTTGTCCCATATGATGTTGCTTCTATATACTACTAATACTTCAGCCCTCACATGGAAAACTTATGTAAATCGCTTGTTTAAGAAGAGTGAGAGGTTCGAAAACAAATGCATATCACTATTTATACAGGTCATCTGTTTAAAAATAAAAAGTTTGAATTGAGAGCAATTTCAGGCCTTAAGTTATGCATTGTTCACAATCCTTACCAAGAGTTAGCTGTGGGCTGTGGAACGTATATCATGGATCAGGAGTTGAGCACTTTTACTGATGCCACTAATCTGTAGAAGGATTCTATTTGTAATACTTTAACATGTTTATAATAGTGTGTTAATTCTAACACAACTTGAAATTGCACAAAAAATTAATTGTGTTAAATAATTAAGTAAGTTTTGTAATAAAGTTAAGTCAGGTTGCTAATGAGTATGGTATGAAAATCTCACCAAGTAAAACAAAAGTGGTGGCATTTAAAGGACTTGAACCTTTAAGAGCAAAGATAGTTATATATGACCAAATAATTGAACAAGTT